CGGACTCAAGTGATCTCAAAGAGACCTAATCATAACACCATTCAAATTCGTTATTATCATGATTGCAATGATTGGTTATTGATTTATCTTTTTGCAAATATTGATTATTGGTTATCTTTTGGATTATCATTAAGAATTATTATTTCGTTATTTATCATTAATTAATTTTACTGATTAAATCGTTATTAAATTCTTATTACGAATTTTGGAGTGATTTACCAAAAATTTATTTTTCTGTTTGATTAGGTGTCTACAGTCCATCAGTGGGACAGGGGATTGTATGTATATTGCTTGATTGTTCTACCCCTGTTCCCACTCTCCCTACCCSCCTGTATTCTGTGAACACCGGCACCTCTCAAGTACCGCATCAGTTCAGACTGATGTCGATGGAACAGGACACCGGGGCACTGCCACGGCGCARTGCCAGGATCGCAGTTCGTGCCCGCCCTGCGGTACCTCCAAGACCCAAGAGATTCAGCAGACGGACGACTCCAGCGGCATCAAGTACGRCATTGACAGTACAAGACACCACCGGAGATCTTCCCGCATGCCCGGTCCGASAGGCCAGCGAGCCTTTGGCCRACTATCGTGGGCGGCTACAGGCATTTACAGACGCCGTAGCCGCCGCCGAGGCTCAGCAGGCTGCGRCAGAGGCAGAACGTCAGYGGCTGGCCAATGAGGCGGCAGCCGAAGCTCAGCGGACAGCTGAGACTGACAAAGCGGCACGAAACAGACGGAATGCCGCCAGCACGGAGTCCCTGATTGCTAGTGAGCATCAGTGGACAACGRTACTCCAAGGCATGATCTTTGTGCCTACGGAAAYGCARSCGGAGCCGACACAGGCGGAGGCAGAGAGAAGTAACCTGGCTACCGTGATGTTGAACGTAATGAGGGGAGTAATGTGGAACAACAAACTRYTGCAGGCACACCTGCACGCGGAACGACAGCAAAGACAGCAGTACCAGGAAGACCTGGCCGCTGTAACGGCCGGCGTCCGCGACGCAGCAATGCAGCAGCAGCAACAGCAACAGCTGATGAACTCTACCATCGCAYGCATCAACGGCATTGAGGCCAAGGCCTCAGCAGCGCCAGGCTGYACGACGGACGCGACGAAGCAAATCAACGAACGCATCGATCACGTCGTCACCATCATCGGTGACATAGGTGTTTTCAACGGACCGGACACGATCAGCAGCACGGTGGCCGCCATCAAGACGGACATCACCAAGCTACAGACGAGACCAGACGCCGCTACAAAGATGTTCAAGATGCCGCACTTCGACATCTGCAAGTTCGACGACTACAACAAGTCAGACGCTTTGACATGGTGGCAACGTTTCCTCACGGAAGCGTCATGCCGCACTGTCCCGGCGAACGACATGTTGAAGGCACTCTATTTAAAACTAATTGGAGGAGCGCAGGCATGGATGAACCACCTGGCGGCCACCCACAAGTGCACCATCGCCGAACTCCACACGCACATCACGTACAAGGAGTTCGAGCAGCTATGGTTCACCCGGTTCATGGTCCGCAACGTCGTGAAGGCGGCCATGAATGAGGTGTACAAATGCTCTCAGGGGAACATGCCAACTCGAGACTGGACAACGAAGTGGCAAAAGATAGTGACCACACCAGGCTTCGACTTGACGTTTCCAAATCAACGATCTGAGTTCTTCTCGCGATCATGCGCGGGATTGCGGTCGGCACTCGGTAATGAGTACGACTATACCACATTCCAGGCCATTCTGGATCGAGCGAACTTGGTCATCCAAACGGACGACAAGGCCGCTAACGAGAGACAATCCCAGCCGCACTATGTGGCTAAGCAGACCTATCAACGTCCGACACATAACAATGCCGTGATTTCTGAAGAAACAGACGATCTCCACGCTGCAGCAGCATCCTCGAGTGATGGAGGAATTGTAGCAGCGCTCCCGCCAAAGCGTCCCAAGAGAGTTCGGAAGAACAAGTCGACACAAGAGACAGCATCGACGGGAACTGGGCAGCAGCCATAGACGGCTTACAAGATAACCAAGGATGTCTATGACCTTCGTCAAAAGTATGGATACTGCCTCTGGTGCAACGGCGTCACTCATGTGACCGCACAATGCCCCGAAAAGGGCAAGGCACGCGTACCMMGTCCAGCAAACTCGGGAAACTGAGTTACGCAAGGAGAGGGGCGACGTCTCTCCTCACTCCGCCGAACCCGGTTGCCTTGCTAGCAATCGATGTCACTACCGGGGAGCATGCGTTAGTCGCTGATTCTCA